TCTCACCCAGTTTGTACTAAAGTCCCTGTAGTTACTGAATAATAAGCCTTAGTATGTAATAAGCCTGGGATTTTAAGGGGTTAAAGTCTGAAATGTGCTGTCAACTCTTTGAAGAATTCAGTAGATCCATGATCCATGTGTTTCTTTTAGTGCCTTTAGTGTCATTATTTCATTTCAATTTTGCTTGCAATAGGAAAATGGAAAAATGTTGATCTTGCATGATGCAAAATGACACAACACTCAGTAAAGCATTAGTCATAAAAAGAATAATGTATCTAATCAACCTGAAGTTGATTAAGTCATGATCGGTATAAGACGCTTTGCTTTGGCGTCAAATGAAAACATATCTGTGAACATATGCACTCGAGCGCACAGCATACACAAACACACACGTACTGACTCCTACAGAGTTGCTGATTCAGTCGAGATGAAAATGAAAAAGCTCTATTATCTCCTACTGTTCCTCTTCCGACACCACAAACCTCTCAGAGACAATACAATACCTGTCAAGCATTCCATAATTCAAAAGCCCTGTCAAAAAAAAAAAAACATTCCTGCGCAAACACCTATAAACCCGCAGTGTTTGAAAAGAGGGATCCAACAACGAGCGAGAATATCTCAGCACAACAACATGACACCATGAAGGAGGAATGGAGGAAAAAATGTCATTCGTTTTGGGGAGAAATGAGAAAACGTATAAAGGGAATCTATCTCCGAGCGCTCTCTCTGTCTCAATTCTCCACATTCTTCGACTGCATGAGGAGAGACTCGAGCCACACTTATGAATATCAAAAGAAGTTCGGCGTCCGTGGTCATCTGGGGCACCTCATTAGACGGACTGCGTGTGTCTCCAATGTTAATGCCTGTTTACTGTGCGCTGTGCAGAGGCCAGTAATTAAGTGGCAGAGGTATGAGGTGCTGAAGGCACTTCCATTGTTCTATTCTGATGAACTACCCGAAGCAGCATACTGATTCGGATCACCACGGAAACAACGCATTCCACATGCCTTCATGTTCCAGCCAGGCGGAATGTATGGAACTCAAATATGACTTCAATAAAGCAATAAAAAAGTGGTCCGACAATGTCGCTCCCCCCGCAGCAATGGATGATAAATGTATTTACAAACTTTGAAAGTAGATTCTCTCGTACTGATAAGATTCATGTTTAAATTGAGTTTCAAAGACTTTAACCCCTTACATTCCCACATTTATTGCAGCCTAAGGTGTAATCTTCAGTAATTACATGGAAAACTATGCAAACCGGCTGAGTTCTTCTTAAGTTAGAGGAGTTAGGAACCAATTTGCTGCTCTTGGGCATTAGGGGTTAAACTAGTAACCTTCATATGTAAAATTTCAGTGGAGTGGTCCTTTGTAGATGATAAACTCCTCTCTTAACAGATTATCAGTAACACATCAACAACATATCAGTGAAGTATCAGTAGTGAAGCATTGAAGTAAATATCTTATAGACGTTCTGTTGATACATTACTTACATTAAGTAGTGTTGTTAATATGTTACTTCCATTACGCAAAACCTAACCTTACCCAACCTTACCCAAAACCTAACCCTAACCCTGGGCCTAATCCTAACCCTAACCTTAACCTCAACCCAAAACCTAATCCTAAACCTAACCCTGGCCCTAATCCTAACTCTCAGTGTTTTTGACATTACTGAGAGTCTGTTGAGTGTTTAAAAAGAATCACTCAAAATAAAGTGTCACCAAAATTTTAAACTTGGCTAATTTGGTCTCTAGAACAAAGATTTTCTTCCAAACAATAAAAAGGCTAAAAAGTCAGTTTCTCATACTCACCTTTGATGGACCTACCGATTGTTTGGACAATGACTTGACATGCATTTTTTTGTTCAATTAATAAACAAATATGTCATATAAAACACATTATTCTACACTATGTCAGGAGTTGCGACCGTCCAACCATATATGCAGGTTAAGTGAACTACTAAAAAAGGTAGTTTGGTTCTATCAAATTCCACATAAAACAGTTTGATTTTACGTTTGACAACTTTTATAACCATAACATGTAAAATATAGCAGCTTTAAAAGTGTTTTAAAAACTTTTGTTCGTAAAGTCAAATTTTCCTTCAGCACAATTCACAACAAAGACTTTTATTCTGACGTGCTTTTAAGAAAGAGTGGGCAGGGTTTCTGAATCATGAAGAAGAACCTGAGCTGCGAAGCCAAGGTCAGTAGCCCTTCCACAAGTATTAAACAAAGACGTTGCTGAGTCATCGTAAAGTTTTATCAAGTCCTGTGGTTTTTTCACAGGACAGCCATGAAAATGTGTTGGTATTATAATAATGTTTATATATTTGGGAAAAGAAAAAGTAGAACAAGGACAAAAGTTTATATGGGTTTCCAAATATAAAGATTAGTTTATACACGTTTTCATTAGTTGTAAATAACTTTGAAATAGAATATCTTTTAAAAATGCGTGTTGCACACACTGTACCAGAAGTACAGTAGATGGTTGTGCAATTCATTCCTATGGGAAAAAATTCTGAATTTAACGAAGACTGTACAAAAACATGCATCCAATTAAAAAGCTGTATAAAAGCCCAAATTACACAATCAGACTGGACAATCTGGAGTTGGAACGGTGACGATATCTTGAAAACTGTGGGACGAGGTATGCGGCAAAAATAAAAAAATAAGAAAAATAAAAGTGAAAAATAATGTAAAATAAAGAACAATATAGTAGCAACCATAATTAAATTAAATTAAATTACATTTTCCAACTGTTTCCATGGAGACAGCTGATATTAAAATGCTGTTAAATTGCTGTTAAAAGTTTACAATCTGACAAAACCAAGTTTAAAAAACAGAATCTCCAAAATAACACTGTCCTACAAGAACAATAACTGTGTTCCACTGTCTGTCTCCCAGAGCTGGTACTGAGTTGCAGTGATTTCATGTGGAAGGACCACAAGTAGAACACAGCTAATATATTCTACTCCTCCGCAAACACAACTAAGATCCAGGCTAGCATGACCGTGATGTGACATCTGTTTGAAGCTACACATGACACATGCAGCAGCATCTGCTTACCAGAAGCCTATAGGTAAACCAGAAAAGTCTCAAACGAGCCCTGCAAGTCCCCAATCGAGTCTAGCAGAGTCGCATGGAGGAGCTCCATCCTGATTGGATTTGCACATCTCCAGGCTTGTTTCGGAGCAGAGCCAGTGATTAGAGGGCCTGGAGAAGCTCTGCTCTGGATCAGAGTGATGAGACCGGTAATCAATGCTCTAATGCCATTTGATCCACTTCACTGCTTAAAGACTCCACTAAAACCTCAGCACTCAAACACACTCACTTACTGTATGAGGGGGCATCCGCAAGAAAACGCAGTCTTTAACATACACACACACACACACCAATGAGCCGTACACACCATGTATGTACACAAACACACAACAGGCCTTACCGCACATGCCAAAGTTTCTAACATATCTGACCACCAAGATCAATCACTAGAACCAGTGTCAGAAACCCCAGTAACACCAAATCACCACTTTACTTTCTACTGGGGGGATTTTGTTATTGAGATATATACCTTATGATTTTTATATCAACTAATAAATCTGTGAATTTTTAATGCATTTCCTGCAGATTTTTCTGTTGAAGTCAAAATCTAAAGCTTGACTTTTTTTTTTTTTACATCACTGAAAGAACAAAAATGCTTAAATTCTGCATCTCAACAGAAACAGTACTTTTGATTGATTGTTATAAATAAATTGTAATAAATCAGTTTAATTGCAACTTAAACCTCAGTCCTTAAACCTATTTATTTGTCTTCCATAGAAAAGGAAACAGTATTGGGTGTCCAAGTACAAAGATCTGTTTATACACGTTTCCATTAGTTGTAAATAACTTTGAAATATAATATCTTTTAATAATGTGTGATTGCACCATATGTCATTTTCTGGATGGTGTAATTGATTATTCTATTTAAAATTCATTTAGAAGCTATGAAAGAAATATCAATACAGTGAATAGATCCAGCTACAAAAACACACAGCAATGGAAACAGTATTAAACAAAATAGTTATGAAAACACTCCATGACATTGTTTTACAACAGCCCAAAGGAAGCTTTTTTTTAGATTTACTATAAGCTAACCAGTACCAACATTATACATAAAAGATGTAGATATAGAAATAAATGGCTATCACCACCACTGTATCCAAATACCACCGGGCTTCAGCTGCAAACTAGAGGTCTGCGCTGGACTGCATTTTTCAGTCCCATTCTCACAAGATGTCATCCTGCTCTTGCAAAAAAAATCAGAATCATTTGTCTCGCTCCTGTCCACAACTTAAACGTTTCGGCCCACTCCTGCCTGCATGGTTCTGTCAAAGCGAACTGGCGTACAATTCTCACATAGTTTATTCACAAATACGTTAACCTCTGCTGAAATAACACGGCAGCCATGGTCATCAGGCTCACTGTGAAGTAACTTCACCAAACACCATTTATTCCCAGTAAACCCAAAGCAAAGAATTTGCGTGTTGTTGACGTGATTGGTTGCTTTGCAACTCTTTAGAATAACTTCATTCATTTTAACTGTTTTGCTGTTATCATTTTATATACGTGTGATTTAGTGGTAGTTCAACCTTATTTATGCTATTTATTGATTTGCGGGATTTCTCTTCATGCATGCTTCAGCCTGCTCCTGTCTACAGTGGGCTAGTTCCCCATCCGCTACGCTGAAACTTAGCCCCGTGCCGCAATGTATTGTGGCAGGTCCCAATAACCAACCTAGAGGTAATAGGCCTGACAATATCAAAAAAAAATCTGAGGACCAATATTCATAGAACCTGTATTAGCCTTGTAGCTCCAGTGTAAAACTAAAGAAGCATATTTCAGATACGAAACATGTTTTGGATGGTAAACTGTTGAGGGGAACGTTGCATGAATTAGATTTTTCACCAAACTATCACTTTAAGACAGGGACATAAAAGTACACAACGCTAAGGCACTAACCTGGGCGTCTGGGCATCGTCCACCCGGTTACCCAGCTGAAACTCGTGCGACTTGCTGCGGTGGAGGGCGGTGAAGCCAGGCAGCAGGTGAATGAGTTTGCGGCTGGAGGGCGGCGGGGTGCCGGGAGCTTTCAGCCTGTTCCTGCGTCGGATCGGCGGCGTGCCCGGAGGGGTCATTGTGTTCACCACCAGGGGAGTCCGTGGAGGCATGTGGGCAAAATGCCTCTGCCTGGGGGACGGGGGGAGGGAGCGGTGGCCTGTGTCCAGGCCGGAGGGCAGCAGGCCCGGGTAGGAGTCCACTGTAAGCCGGTCAGCCTGGTGGTGCGGGTGGAGGGAGTAGAAGGGCGGGGCCAGGGCCTGCGGGCTGTGGCACAGATGCTGGCTATAGCGGGACGACTGCAGTTTAGGGCTTTGAGTGAGCTGCAGACGAACCCACTGGCCAGGCTCCGGGGTGCCCACAGGCGTGTTCTCTTTACCAGACTCAGACATAGGCCACTGGATGGACCAGTCCTGTTTGGGCTGGTTACTGCTGGTTCCTGCATAAATCAGGGAAATCAGGGGATATCAGAACATTTTATAGTGATTAACATTGTAAATAAATAGAATATGTCTCTTATAATAGGGAAAAGGAAGGAACAAACAAGCAGTGGATTGTGAGAAGAGAAGAGAAGAGAAGAGAAGAGAAGAGAAGAGAAGAGAATAAGAGTGATGTAAAGAAGAGAGGAAAAGAAAAGATCAGAAAAGAAAAGAAGAAAAATTAAAGAAAAGAACAAAAAAGAAAAAAAAATGAAAAATACAAGAGAAGAGAAAAATAAAAAGTAGAAAGAAGAAACGAAATGTAGAAAACAGTATAAAAGAAGTGAACAGCAATAAATAGACAAGTAGAGAAGAGAAGGGAAGCAAAAAAGTAGTAAAGAGTAGAGAAGAAAATAAGAATAGTGTAGAGAAGAGAGGAAATGAAAAGATGAGAAAATAAAAAAGTAAGGAAGAAAAGAAAAAAGAACAAAAAAATGAAATGAGAATAAAAGAAAATAGAAAAGTAGAGAAGAGAAGAGAAGAGAAGAGAAGAGAAGAGAAAATTATTAAAGAGAAGAAAATAAGAGTAAGGTAGAGAAACGAAGAAAAGAAGAGACGAGAAAAAAAGAAAACAGAAGAAAAAGTACAGAAAACAACAAAAAAAGAAAAGAAACTTAGGATAAAAGAAAAGAGAAGAGAAGAGAAAAATGAAAAAAGTAGAAAAAAGACACTAAACGTAGAAAACAGTATAAAAGAAGTGAATAGAAGGGAAAATGAGAGAATAAAACAGAAGAGAAAAGAACAGAAGAAAACAGAAAAAAAGTAGAGAAGATAGAAAAAAGATGAAAAGAAAAAAGAGAAAAGAAAACAGAAAAGAGAGGGGAAATGCAGAGTAGAAAATAAAAGAAAAAATACGTAGAGAAGTAAAAAATAGAAGAGAAAAACAGAAATATTAGAATAAAAGGAAATAAGAGAATTAAAGAAACACAGAAAAAGAAGATAAAAAGAAAACAGAAAAGAAGAGAGAAGAGAAGCAAAGGACGGTGAAGGAGTGTGAGTCTGATACCATGAGTCACATGGAGGGTCAACAGTGAGGAGAAGTCAGACAGCATCTATCACAACAAAACAGAGACAGAAGTGAAAAAAGGAAGGAAATGTGTTCTCATTCGGCCAAACTGCTCCACACTGTGTCTGAACATGATGGTAATGGTGACAGTGTGACAGGAGACTTTTATTATGCAATGAGGATGACGAAGATGCAGACAGACTCTCAGAGAGGAAGAGTTAAAATGTGACAGTGCTTCACCTCCATTACTGTGCAATTTGTCGTCCTCAAGTTGTTCTTGAAAAGAAAATAACAAATGTATATTCATTAGTTAGAGAAGAGGCATTTTCACAGACAACTGTATGACCTTTAGAACAGAAAGGAGGTCAGACTAGCTTTAAAACAGCATTACTAATATCCAGTCAGTCTTCAAACGTGTCAGCAGAGAATTATAATCATTACCATATTTTACATAACTACTATTCTAGTTCAGACTTAAATTATTAATGAAATCTATGAGTGTAATAACACTACTTATTGTCTTAATCTTATTGTATTGTCTATTCCAAAGACATTACAACAAGGTTAATGGGTACAACAGTCAGTGGTGGACAAAGTCTACAAATCCAGTACTTGAAAGCAGAGATACTCTTGGTAAACATAGAAGTCCTGTTTTTTCTTGAGTTCATCCCCTAAAGCAGCATTTTGCTCATGGGCTCCCCTTACAGTTGCAGAGCATATTTCACTTTTGCACCACTGCTGTAAATACAAATTGCGCTGTGAGCCCCCCATCATGTACACTTCCCTTCACGTGCACACCTGTCATGCAGGCATATGGATGCTATAGATTACACTTGCATTTCAGTTGTTTCTGTTTGTAAAGAACCAAAACTGCGAGTGTAATCTGTAGCGTCTATATGCATGCATGGCGCCCGTACATGCGAAGGGGAGTCGGATTCTGCCAGCAAGGCAGAATTCCGCGCAAAACTGGCAAGAGAAGAGAAAAAAATCCATGCTGACTTACAAGGTAGAATAATGTTGCAGGATTTTATTACAGGAGGTTGCAAACTTTCAAGGCTTATTTAGCGTGACATTGACAAAGACTGACCAAACTTTTTGGCGTGAGATGAATTTATTTCCTTGCATGCTGGCCTGAAATGGAACTGGGGATTCTGGCTTCTGGAAAAACTACAAAAACTATAAAACTCTGTGAGGCAGGGATGACACAGATAAGGTTACAGCCTAGGTCACTTTTTGTTGTTTTTCCATTAGCTGTGAGACTGTTTTGTATCCTTTCATCTCTTTTCTCGCCATGAGTAAAAGTCTCTCTTTCTCTCTTCCTCGCTTCCTCTGACAATGTCTTAGGACTCTTTGCAGTCTCTGTCATGATGTCCATGCTGGGAATACTGAGCTAGCTACTTATAGCAAGCTGAAGAGCCATACTTGTTGGTGTGTAACGTGGCGCCATAAAGCATTATGCAGTTCTTGTGAGAGGGTTCATGCCCGCTCCTCCAAAGTTACATAACGCTATAGCAGGCGTTCCGGCCCAGAGTGGCAACGACAGAGACGCCATTCAGTCAGTTTACCATTAAAATAAATTTGAAGCTGTTATTTTAAGGTTAATTTGCTACATAATGTTGTTTTAATGGCCAGCAGGCCCAACATTTTATCACACAATTCTATAAAATAAGAATAGCTCCACCAGTTTGCACTGGTGTCCCTGTAGTTACCAAATAGTAAGCCTTAGTAAGTAATAAGCCTGGGATTTAAGGGGTTAATGTACAAAGTACTTGCTTTTGAAGGTACTTAAGGATCAGTTACTGGGTTTCAGGTTGGGCAAATGGGCAAATTTTCACTCCCCATGCAAACTCCTGGGATATCCGATGCCTGATTAAAAAATTCCCCACATAAAAGTGCTACGATGAGACCATCAGTATTTAAATGTGGAGTTCCAGTAAAGGTGCACTGTGATTGGTAAAATTTACTTGTGAAAGTGTCTCATATTCTTTCAAATATTCTATAAAGTTCATTTTTCCCACTTCAGAGTGATGACACAAGTAGCATAAAGTAAAAAAAGTGGATATTTTATTTTGAATGTATGTGATTCTCTGTAGTGGAGTGAAAGTGCGTCTCAAAAATAGAAATACACATATTTTCAAGTTTGATATGATTTTTGATTCTAATATCAAGATTAAAACAAAACCTTGCTTCTACATCTTTGTCTTTTTTTTACAGGAGCTGTCTTTTATGATTTGCTAAATTTTATGATTAATGGGGATATTACTTTGAAAAAATCCATCCAATCCATTTAAAGTAAAAAAAGTTTCCTTCTCTGGAAAAGTTACCATTTTGGCGATATGAGGTTTTGTCACGGCAGCGATGATAAATTAATTTGGCTAGAATGAATAAAAGTTCTCAAATAGAAGTTGTTTGAGGGTGGGTGTGTCCATAACATATTCCCGCCCCCTTCCTGCTCACTTTATTCTGAAAGGATGCTCTCAGATGCCTAATGAGCTAACCCAAACTGTTACATCACTGGAAGCTTATGAAGACTTCTTGTCTTCTACATGAGATCTTTCCTCCTCAGTGGACAACGTGCCAACATGTTACTGTCATTGAAATATTCGTAGTTTCTGCATCTGGCTAACATATAAATGAAGAGTAACTAGAAAGTGAAATTTTGTGAACAAACTTTAAGTTGGCTTGAAAAAGCCAGCCAATTACTTTCAGACATTAAAATGGGCTGTTGATGGTTCCTAAAGTGTTGCTTAGATGCCGCTAGGCGGTTGCTAAGGTATCCCAGGCGGATGGTAATGTGTTGCTAGGTGCTACCTTAAACTGCCACCTTAAATACACTGCCACCTTAAATTCAGTGCCACCTTAAATCTACTGCCACCTTAAATGTATTGCCACCTTAAATTTACTAATATCTTAAATTCACTGCCACCTTAAATTCAGTGTTGCCTTAAATGCAGTGCCACCTTAAATCCACTGTTTGCGCTGTTATTGCTGTGCATTAGGCTGTAAGCGTGTGAGTCTGTGTGTACTGTGTATGAGTGTCTGTGTGAGAGATGTCCACTGTGACATCACTTGTGGCAGTTAGACTTGAATATCCTGAACATTCTGCCATTCATTTCCTATGGGAAAAAATTTTATGAGCGCTTCGGAAAGTACAAGCAACCTTGTCGAGTATAGGTCCTACAATCCTGCAAAGTTCGTGGTTCAAGCTCTAAAACTGCAGGATGAGAAACATTTTAGTTTTTGAGCAGAGAATAATAAGAAGAAGATTCCGAAGAACAGTCAGTTGGCTTTTCCAAGCTAACTTAACTAGCAACAAAGCAGTGCCAGAGCACCAGCCATGCTATCTCTGCTTTCTCAGCCACGCCCTTAATGATGTGCTTATGTTCAGGCACTCATGTTTGTTTAAGTCCCAACTCGTAAAACTGTCACACAGTATAGTTTCTCTGTCCTTCCAGACGCGTAAGAAACACCTGAACAGTGAGTTCAGTGTTCGATTGCTGGCACCTCAAGCAGTTAACAGAGTACTCGAGTACCTGTGCATGTCCCTAATCTACAGCAATGTCCTTGAAAGATGGTAAATGAGAGATGCTCAGAAAAGGCCAAAGGGGGGGATTCAGTTTTGAACTTCTACATACTGATTTTTCGAAAGTGCTGCAACAAACAATAGTTGATAGCTTTCAGCACACAAACCTTCCCCAGTCTCTTCTTTTCTCTATTCAGTAACATGATAAGCCACCGTGCTAATGTGGCTGCACAGCCTGCTGGATTACACTACAGCATCCCTCCTCCCTCCGAACACCCTCTGCTCCGTTAGTGAACTTTTTCTATTAGTGAGCCACCTTTTGTTCTGGATGATAAGCTCCCTCATTCTCTCTCTCTCTCGCGCTCTCTCTCACACATGCTCTCTCTCTCCAAAGAGCTTTCTGCATCCGTATTAAACCCCAAATAAAGGGAGAAAGTGGCGGAGGGGAGGCAGCCGGCTGACGCATCAAAAGCTCGGAGGTTGTGTGGCGTTTCATTGTGTTTAAGCACTAAGTGCTTTATTTCCCGAAGCCTTGATGAAAACTAACAGCAACGAGGCAGAACCGAACTTCACAGACCCGCTCTCTCCTACACATTCCAATTCAAGCTCATCTGCGATAGATGGCGCTTTTTACTGACTAATTATGTAACAAAAGAGTGACATTATTTTACCACAGCATCTCCACGTCTGATCTCCAGGGGTGTAAGAATGCATTGTGACATCAAAACACAAAGATGCAACAATGCAGCGATGCACTGTGGAGGACAGGCGTTCTGTAATTATGCTAAGACAACTGCATTGTTCGAACTCCAAAGTTTGCAAACAACCAGCACCAATCAATGACTCACTCCAGCACGATAATGACACACGCCGCTCTTCTCATCTCCCTGCTCTCGCAAACTTATGAGCACTGAAAAAGGCAATAAGTTCAGAAACAGATACAGGGATCCAGAGTTATATTCCCCCATGAGAACTTTTTAATGATTTTAACATGAAAATGAAGCATTCTGAGAATACGCTTTTAAGTACATGAACATTAATATCAGCTCACTTTACCATTAAGCTGATTTGGCAAGTTAAGGTTAGGAAAAGATAGAGTGAAAGCAAGTTAACCCCTTAAAAGGCCAGGGCCGGCAAGCAGGCCCACAGTTTTATTACACCTTCTATAACCTAATAGTAGCTCTGCCACTTTGTTTTGAAGCCCCTGTAGTTACTGAATAATAAGTCCTAGTATGTAATAAGCCTGAGATTTTAAGGAGTTAAACTGTAATGTAGTCACAAATGAGAACAAATGAGAACTACCAAATCAGTTTGCTGCTGTATCATCTGGTGAATAAATACTGTGACACACTGCTGTGCAGAAAAGGGGGATTCTTCTTCAGAATTCTCTTTGCTGGCAGCAGGACTCCCCCTTCCAAAATGAAAAACTCTTTAAAGTGCACATATTATCGCTGTCAGTCATCTCCAAAATGGTGTATTTATATTTATAATGGTACATTATAGAAGAAGGAAAAACATTCCTTTTTTTTTTTTTCTGTAAACTAGTGTAATTGGTTTTTACCAAGAAATTTCTATTGGTCGACTCATCCTAAAATTTTGACACAATGTTAAGACCATTTGGTGTTTTTAAATAATGTATAAAAAAATAAAAAACAAAAAAGGAGACATTACATACACTATATGGACAAAAGTATTGGGACACCTATACATTACACCTACAAAAGCTTTTACATTCCATTCGAAGTCCATAGGC